GTGTAAATGTCTTTCCCTTTTCACAAGAGAAGTCCGAGTCTATTGCTTTATCCATTTTAGGGTCATTCATGTTTGCTTTAGATTGTCTCACTAGGAATATATGCAGCTTGGCCAGCTGTACAATGCTTTGGAAATGTTATATTGTAACCACACCACTATCCAGTCTTCCTCATGCCCTGGTCAGGTAGACCCAGCTAAACTCTGCAGCTTGAAAAATTGGGAATCTTAACTTTTTATCATTATTAAGGTAATTTCATGAGATGTCAAAATAAGCAATTTGTGATCACTTTCTCCAAGCCTCTTCATTAACCTTTAGTGATCTGTAAGAGAATCCTTTGCCAGTTCCCAGGTCCAATGGTTATTTCTCTAGTTGGTTCAGGACAACCATTTTAAAAAGAGCCCTGGACCATTTCAAAAAAGTTTTGATTACCTGTCAAAAATGATCAATTGATTTGGCTAAAGTTAACCCTTTGAGGGTCAAACCCCCATCTGACAAAAATTCTACGCAATGGGTCCAAAGAATTTAAAAAAAAATTAAATAAATAATAAATAATTATTTTTCTTAAGAATAGTAGAAGAATCTTTTCTGAGGGTAATAAGTAAAAAGTATGAAATGTGATAAAAAAAATTGATGCAATTACACTCATGAATTTTGCTGGTGTCAGTTCTCCACTTTTTGAGCTCCTATTTTTCAGCCAATTAAATTGTTCAATTAGACCAACTTCTATCTGATTTCGCTAGTATGTGTTCCAATTTTATCTATTGAGCAAAAGAATCGCTCGATCAAACTATCTCGATACCCCAATAGTGATTTAGAAATGGTAATTAGCCAGTTTCACACAAAGTTCAAAATATTTCAATTCAAAAGAGGGTCCGAATAAACAGTGCAGGGCATTCCTGGCACTATAATAAACTAATATTAGTTATGTTTCCGGCTTTACATGAATTCCATTTGATGTTTTATTCACGTAAAGAGGAAAAATATTTATTCACATCAAAATCGAAGATTTACTGTTTTGCAATATTTTAAATATTGCATAAAACAGTTATAATTAAATCAGTCGCATTCATGAACCCACATTAGACCACAGCTGACAATATTGGACTCGTGATGTGATTTGTTTCTCTTTAACATTGGCAAAATCGAACATTTCCTGCTACTATGAGACTCATTCAAGCTTTTTTAGTACAAAAAACTAATCAAAATCAATCTCTTAATTTATGTAATACTTTCTACCCTTCTATCAATGAGACCAAGAACATGATTTACAACCATAAAACACCGTCGAAAATACACTGCCAAAAGTAAGTTTTAATCCAAAATCATGGTTGGAGTTTTGTTTCTCATTATGCACTGCGTGCTGCAGGATTTGTTTTATATGGTGCACCACTTACACACAGATGCATTCTCTCTATCTAAGCCCAATTTACTGTCATAGCTTAGCTGAGTAAGCTTGAGGCTCAATGACCTGTTACACGGGCTGGACCTGGCTTCAAAAAGCCATAGAACTAGGGATGCACCCTCAAAGTGTTTTAAAAAATTCCCATTCAAACTAAATTTTTGCTTCTAAATCCTGAAGCATTTATATCCCCCAAAAGAAAGTTTACTCTGGTCATGTTCAAGGTTTTAGGGGTCAGTAGATCATCCTAAATATACCTTATTCTTGCCTTGAGAAAAGGAGCCAAATTCTGTGATGCTTCTCTTCCATCTTTACGTCGTTTCTGATGCAACTGTTTAAATTTTTGCTAAACATACCAGAAAACTCTGCCTGCTTTCTGTTGACTTTCAGAGAAAATAATTTATATCTCTTCGTGGAAATTCAGCAGCTGTTCCCTATTTTTGGATTGATGTTTCAATTATTTCAATAATTAGTGGTACCCCGAGTTTTGAACTTTCTTTGTTCCAGAGGATGTTCAAGTGCCATTACTGAATGGAAATTTGTTCCATAAGGAATGTAAATTAGATTAGTCCATTTCAGACCCCAAAAAATACATTACAAAAGACTGGAATTTACCTGGAGATGAGTTCCGGGGGTAAAGCTCCCATGGCCGGTCTGTGACCAGGCCTCCTGGTGGATCAGAGCCTGATCACCAGGTGTTACTGATGGCAGCACACAATCCAACGTACGAGCCACAGCCCAGCTTGTCAGGTTTACCGACTTATGTGCTTGTCCAGTCCAGCTTGAGACTGCCAGGGGTCTATTGGTAATCCTTATGTTGACTGGGAGCAGTTGACCAGTCTCAGGCCCTGAACCACTTATTGTATTGTCTCTTTAACGTGCTAGTGGACCCATGTTTTCATTGGGGGGATGTTTGCATCGTCTGGCCATGTCTTTGGTCTCGTATAGAGTGATTTTCGATTGTGCAAGTTCGGTATAGTTCCTCTAGGATTTTCCAGGTGTCTATAATCATGTATCTCTCCACTGCTTTCCAGGGAGTAAAAGTCAGGAACTTCAAGGCATTCCAGTAATTGAGGTGTTTTATCTTGCTATGCGTGCCTGAAGGTTCTCTGTACATTTTCAGGTCAGCAATTTCACCTGCCTTGAAGGTGCTGTTAGTGGTGCAGCATATTCCAGCCTAGATAGAACAGCGGACCTGAAGAGTGACATCAGGGGCTTGGCATCCCTAGTTTTGATGGTTCTCACCGACCAATAATACACTTACATAATTGGCTTATCACTGACAATTAGTACATTTACCATAATTGGTCAAGTTGGGAGCAGTTCGAAAACTGGGGTACCACTGTATTTGTTTCAGCACATGCAGTTAGGCTTATTAATCTGTTTGATTTTTTTTAACTCTGGCTGTTTGTACTGTTAAATACTAAGGATGTTTTTGCCTCGTTTCTCCAATTCGTATTGTTTTTAGGACTAATTTTCCTGTTTTTGTCAGGAACTTTTTGAACTATCTGTTTTCTAAAATTTTGCCTAACATATCGTGGCAATTTTTGCTCTTACTGCCCCTAGTACTGGAGCCTTTTTGTTTCCCACCACACTGCTACCCTCTGTCTTTTTTTCATATAAAGGTCTTAGGCAAATTAGGAATGACTCTTCAAACTGTAGGTCCCTGGCACTAATGAGAGGCACCCATCCATGCATTACCTGGTATTTTCCCATAAAAATTATTCAGTTATCAATGATGGAATTCAAGTTTCTGCCAGTACTTGTCTAGGCCATCTGTTTTCCCCCACTTGTCTAGACATTCATTCATTGCTGCTTCACGTGAAGCAGATTGATACATATGATTGATACCTTCCTTAGCATTGTAATGGCCAGTTACTCTTCAATCTTGCATTTCTCGCATTATCAACTCCGAACTGAGGTAGATAAAGGGGGTTTTCCTATTACCTGTCTCTCTTGCCTTACTATTCCTGTTACTGAAAGCCCAGGTCAGAATATCAAAATCTGAGAACCCCCCCTCCCTCCAACAAGTACATATACAGTGGACCCCGCCTAACGCATGAGTCCAACTCGACCAATTATGTAAGTGTATTTTTGTAAGTGCTTTTGTAGGTGCATTTTTGGGGGTTTGAAAACTGATAATCTAATTTCAACAAATTTCTTATGGGAACCAAATTCGGTCTATAAATGGCACCCGAACAGCACTTCTGGATTGAAATAATATGGTTATAGGCGGGGGGGTCACTGTATATCCCTTTTTTTTGTGCTACCTGTCTCTCATCACATTGCAACACTAGTCGTGGAGAACTGCAAAACCACCTCAATTCCTAATTGCTTTATAGGGACAGTTTGATGAAAGACAGTTTCAGGGAATTGTCCATCAATAATAAATTGTTTAAAGAAATTGCTTTATCATAATTAATGAAGTGTTTGTCAGCGTTCACATTAAGGAAAGGAGGCATTTTTAACAGTAGGCTTTGAGCTGCTGGCTGATAGGACTCTGGAAATTTTCAGGCAAGGAAATGAAATGAAATGAAAATGTTTATTTCCGTTTCAGTTACAGTGTGTGGTTTACATGCCATAAAATATTAATTCAAAGAAGGGCCACTAGCATGCCTAGGCATTCGGGCAGGACTACTAACTAATTTTATCTATGTTGATATGGTTATGGAGCAGTACATTTGAACATTAACATTATTAGATAACATAAATGTATTAATAAATAGATTTATAATAGTGAAGTAGTATAAAACTATAAAACAGTAATTAGAAATGGTAAGTTTAGTAATTGGGATAGGATTTGCTTGGGTATGATACACTGTTTCTGTGAAGACTCTATATCTTGGCAACTTAGGACTTAACTTAAGATTTAATAGGCAATAGCTTTATGATGGGATTTTTTGTTTCCAGTTTATGTGGAATGAGTGTATGTGTAAATTAGGGGGTATTACAGTTGACGAGAGTAGACTTTATTGTGTTGGATGTGTTCATTTAAAAAAAGGAGAATTAGGTGGTTTTCATGTGGTTACGGAGATGAGCGGTTTTAGGGAGACGAGTGTTTTTTAACGATATTTTTGAAAATGGTGATTGGTTCTGCAGTTCTAGATTTTTTCAGGAGGGGAGTTTCAGATTTTAAGGAGGAAAATAAAATATTCTATGGCAATACAACTCTGCAGTTTTTTACTACAAAATCATTAATTACATAATAAAAAAATATAAATAACAAAAAACTTGATAAATACTTTTAAGGGAAAAAATGAAGCATTTTGTACATTTTTAAAAAAAATATTTTTAAAAAAACATAAAAAAAAAGCAGTTCCCCTTTTTCATGGAAAAGGTCCACAGCTTAGAAATTTTTGTAAACCCTTGGCGGGATTTATAGCCTTTATCGGACTCCCCCGTTTTTTAATCGTACATATGGTAGAAGCACTTGCTGGTATTTGGGCCCAAAGTCCAAAACCCTGCACCTTCCTTGTGTTATCTATGTTTCCCGCTTTAGTTTATGGACATGGGCCCTCTTTTCTTTCAAACACTGTCCTTTCACTTACTTTCTTAGGAACAGGGTTAAAAAAAAAGAAATTTGGGCAAAAACTGCAAAAAATGCAAACAAAACACGAGAGAAATGCTTCCCGGAATAAACAGGTAAGTGAGTTGCCCCGTTCTGAAGCTCCTCTCTTATTTTTATTATTATAATTATTATTTTGTTTTTAAATTTGGGAAAAACTGAGCTCCTGCCTATTAAAATTACAATTATTTTATTATTTTTTTATTATTATTATTTTTAATTTGGTTGGTAGTAGGTTGGTAGACACAAAAAACCCAGGGAAGTTTTTACCGTCCTGCCAGAGACTGTGAAACAGAAACCTGTAACTTTTTTTACATGATGGTAGGATTGCTGGTTCTTTTCTTTCATAAACACGCTAATAACAGGGATTTGCTACTCTTCTTGCACTTTGGTCCAAATTCACAGACAGCACAGCTTTTTATAACATACATTAGGGGGGGTAAAGGAGGTTTTGTGTGCGAGGGGGTTGGCTTCCAGCAGGGCATCGTGAGGTGTTTGATAGGAGTTAATGGAGACAAATGGTTTTTAATACTTGAGTGGTGTTGGAGTGTGAGCAAAGTAACATTTATGAAGGGGTTCAGGGGAACCGGCAGGCCGGATTGAGTCCTGGAGTGGGGAAATACAGTGCCCGCACTCTGAAAAGGCGGGTGTTAAAGTTGCAGTTTTTAAAAACTGAGGTAAACACTCTTCTGGGAAGACATTTATGGAGCAATATGGGGAAAGTTTTTCTTTTTCGGGCCCCCTGCCCTTGGGGGGGAAAGGCCCGTGTATATAAAAAAAAATCTAGGTTTTTTCCTTTTTCTAAATAGCTCTTTTTCTTCTTTTTTTCTTCTATTTTCCATGGGAAGTGAAAAAAAAAACTTTCCTCCGTAAAACCCTGGTGATTTTGAGGCGACAAAATGCGGGAGCAAAAGGGTTAACCCCCTTTTAAAAAAAAGGGTTGCTTGAATGGGGTGGAGTGTGCGGTGACAAAAAAAGACGATTTTCTGATGTTATAATGAAAAAAAGTTGGATTCCCGGCCCCAAACAAAAAAAGCTGAAAGGGGAGGGGGGTTTCGGTGGGGGGAAAAAAAATGAATTAAATCTGGAGTTTGGGAGTTAGAGCTAAGGAAGGGGGTAAAAAAAATGTTTAAAAGGATCGTTATGGAAGGGAAAAGGAATATGAATGTGTAAACTCAAGGTTTTGTGGATTTTAAAGTAAAGGTTGGATGAAAAAAGTGGTATTTAAGGTGTATGCACATGGAGAAAAAGAGGAAGTAGAGGAGGAGAGAGGTTTTGGGGGTAATGAGAGCAAGCATGGGTCGAAGAGGTTGGGGGAGTTTTTGAAATGTTTGTGTTTGTTTAGCAAAAGTTTGTGGTTACAGGAAAAAGGGTGTGGGAGGGAAGATGAGTGATTGGTGGGAATATGAGTAAAGAGATAGTAGGGGAGAAAAAATTAGCTAGAGAAGTTTTGCAAAGTAAAAGTGATGCAAGGGGGGAAGAGTATTGGAGAAAAAGAGAGAGGTTAAGGGGAGTGGTGAACAATGAAAAAAGATAGCAAATGAAGAGTGGGTGAGAGCTTAAACAAATTTTGTTGAAAATAAAAAAAAGTTTTGGAGTCAGATTAACAGTTTAGGAACCCTAGGAAAATAGATTTGTCAGTTAAAAAATAGGAGAGGAGAGTTTTTAAAGGGAGAGTTAGAGGTTTTGGGGAAATGGGGGGAATATTTTGGGAATTGTTAAATTTGATGAAGATTGGGAAAAGCGTGTTTTTATGTATAGGGAAAGGGGGAAAGTTAACATCTTGTAGGATGGGGAAGGCCTTTGTGAGTGGGGGGGATTCGTGAGGCGTAGGAAATGAAGGGGGTAAGGCAGGGGGTTTGATGGGAAAAAGAAAAAAAAATTTTAAAAAGCAGTTGGGGATATAGTTTGGTTGGTTGGTGCATTGTTTAATAGGTGTTGGAAGGGGGAAAGGTCCTAGGGATTGGCAAAAAGATGAATATTTCCCCAAAATGGTTGGAGAAGGGGCGATCGTTTACTATTGACAAAGAAAAGTTCAAAATTTTGGACAGTTAAATAACCATGCCACATATAAATAAATAAATAGATCTTAAACTACTGATTGTAAAAAAGGTTTAGGAGTTCTGGTTAGAGTAACCAAAAACCAAGACAGCAGGCTTAATGTTGCAATAAACTAAAAAAATTTCTTGGCTTCTTATCTAGAAGTTAAATAATAAAATCCTAGTTTTTCTTCAATCATATACCCTTTTGGGGTTGGGCCTCATTTAGACTTGGCCAGTTCTGGTCACCGTATTCGAATGGAAAAAAATCCTCGGGAAAAATACAAAGGAGGATGACAAAGATGTCCATGTATCAAAATTTTCCCCTTGAGGATAGACTGAGGGCCCTAATCTGCACTCTCTCAAAAGGTGAGAATTAGGGGGGATATGATCGGGTGTAAAAAGGAAAAACAGGAATAAAAAAAGGGGATGAAAAATAGGTGCAAAAATTTCCCCCCAAAGGACAGGAATCACAGCAAGTTTAAAGTTGGATAAATTTGTTTGGGAAGGATATAGGAAAGCACTGGATTGGTAATAGAGTTGTGGTGAGTGGAACAAACCCCGGGAAGTTATTAGGAAAAACGTTGTTTTGTTTTAAAAATGGGTTAAAAAAATACATGAGTGGGTGTGATTTGGCCCTGATAGTTGTGTTGCGGGGTGGGGGGCAGTGCTCCACCCTTGAGTGGAGGCCGCGGGGTGGTCATTGGGAAAATCCAGGGGGGGGTCTTTGGGTGTAACCCGGGGGGGACATGGCCCTGCTCTGCTTGGGTAAAGGGGCCCTTTTTGCGTTTCCTTTCTTTCTTATGTTCTTATTTTGTATGAAGGCAAAGGGGACAAAAGAGAGTGAAAAAATTATAGGGGGAAAGTTGTTGGTATACCTGGTAAAGGTATGGTAGTTATTATTAAAAGAATTAAGGTAAGAGGAGAATAGGTACACATAACAAGGAGGTTTGGGAAGGTTTGGGGGGGGGTTGGGCCCAGGGTTTACAGTGAAACAAAAATTTTTTTATTATTTTTTTTTTATTACACACTGGCCGACCCCACCAAGGCAGGGGGGCCCAAAAAAAAACTTTCCCTCTCACTCCAAATGTCTGCCAAAGGGTGTTTACACTACGTTTTTAACTGCAACATTAACACCCCCCTTCAGAGTGAGGACTGTATTCCCAATTCCCGGGCCAAATCCGGCCTGCCCGGTTTCCCCGAATCCCTTCATAAAAAGTTACCCTTTTCTCACACTCCAAAGAGTAAGTATTAAAAACATTTGTTCCATTACTCCTTCAAAAAAACCCCTCACGCAGCCTGGGAAGTCCAAGCCCTCGCACACAAAACCTCCTTTACCCCCCCCCTCCAACCCTTCCAGGCGCCCCAACCCCGCCTTCCCTTCCCTAAGACTGTAACTCTTTAAGTCATTTGTTTTTCTCCATTCTCTCTAAAGTCCGAAAGTATTTAAAAGGGTTTTTTGGCATTTTTGGGGGGTTTTAAAGGTGTATGACAGGGGATGGGGGGCAATGTGGCAGAGTTGAGGTGTATGGTTAGGAGGTAGGTTAGAAAACAGTGAAAAGTTTTTTACGAGGATAGTGAGGTCAAGTTAGAGTATGTAGGAAAGGGGAGATTATTTCCCCGTAAAAGTAGGCCTTAGCAAGGATGTGTGTGTCCCGTGGTTGTTTAATAAATTTATAGTGGGGGTTGTAAAAGAAGTAAAACGAGGGGCTTTTCAAGAGGCGTGGGTTTAAAGATAAAGAATCAACAAAAGTGGGATTGTCCAGTTTTCTCTTTGCTGTGACACGTGCTTTGGGGGGATTCTGAAGAGAATTGCAGAGGTTGGGGATGAATTTGGGTAGGGTATGCAAAAGAAAAAAAAATTAGAAGGAAGCGGGGAAAAGTAAAATTTTTGAGGATAACAAAAGGGTTTGGTGATGAAAGTTGGATATCAGATTGGGGGGGAGAGTAGGAGGGGTGAATGATTCAGATATTTGGGGGTGGAATGTCAGCGGATGGGGTTTTGAAAATGAGGGAATCAAGATTGAGGGGGGGGGAAAAGGGAGCGGGGGCACTTAGGGTCTGTGGAGACAAAGAACTTTGTCCTTGGAGGCAAAAAGGGGAGGTATGGGGAGATAGTTTTACCAACTCTCTTATATGGGGGTAAGCATGGGTCAGAATGTTGCAAGGGAGAAGGTGGAGGCAGTGGGAGGTCATGTTGAGGGGAATGTGTGGTGTGAAAATTTTGCAGAGAATTCGTAGTTTTGGAAGTTAGGGGGGAGGTGTGGGATTACCCAAAAAGTTCAGAGGGCTGGAAAGGGGTTTTGACATGGTTCAGAATGTGAGGAATGGGGAAACAGAATGACTTCAGAGTGTATCAGTCTGTAGTGGAAAGGGAAAGGGGGGGAGGGGTCGGGCCTAGGAAAGGTTTTGGGGGTAGGGGGGGAAAAGGGGAAATTTTTTGTGGAGGGGCTTGGGCTTCCAGCAGGCATGATGAGCGTGTTTGATGGTGAATGGAGACAAATGGTTTTTAATACTTGATGTGCTGTTGGAGTGTGAGCAAAGTAACATTTATGAAGGGATTCAGGGAAACCGGCAGGCCGGACTTGAGCCCTGGAGATGGGAAGTACAGTGCCTGTACTCTGAAGGAGGGGTGCTAATGTTGCAGTTTAAAAACTGTAGTGTAAAGCACCCTTCCGGCAAGACAGTGATGGAGTGAATGATGGTGAAAGTTTTTCCTTTTCGGGCCACCCTACCTTGGTGGGAATCGGCCAGTGTGATAATAAAATAAAAATACTTGTATTAATTTAGGGAAGTGGAGCACAACTCAAGAGCCCCTCACCAGCATCAAGGAACCTTGATGCTGGTGAGAGGCTTTTGATCTAGGGAATTGGATCTGTGCTCCACTTCTTTTAATTAATAATTCGTAATAATAATAATAATAATGATAATTACAATAATAATAATAACGATGAGCTTCAGAATGCCGCCAACTCGGTGCACTGTTTACCTCACCATGGAAGCATTTCTCTGGTGTTTTGCTTGCATATTGTGCAGTT